TCTGGCGATTTGCCAACCAGCATCGACTTTTCACCAACTTCGCTCCAATGCGAAAGTGGTGAACGGCAATTAGATTTCGTAGTCAGCCTAGCGAGGGGCGGAGGGCGACCGTGGATAACTCTCTGGCCCCTTATTGTGCCACATCCAGCCGTTTTCCGACCTCATTCCTGCACAAATGGTATCAGAGGGGGCGTCGAATTCAAACCATGTGCAAATTTCCGAAACCATTTTTTCGTGAACAGTGCCTTTAAGTTGAAGTCGCAGTTTGACAACAAGCAGTGGATCAGATGTTGTTACCTTTATATGGTACGGTTAGATCATTCCCTCCACTGTTGTTTTTTTTCATTCTGCATCTGTTAACCCGCTAGTCGCGCATAACCTACAACAAGTTCCACGTTCTGACCATCGTGCTATATATCACGCGCTAAGTGTGTCTGTTGGGTTGGCTGTGTGTATGTGTGTGTTTGACCGGAAATTCGTAAATCCGGTTCCCGTGGACTTAGATAGTTCAAATTTGGTGGTAGTATAGGCGGCAGGGTGGGAGTTCTGTTTTCAAGTGGCAAGACTAGACCCCGCCCACAAAAACGCAAAATTGGATCTAGAGCGCTAAAATTTGGTATGAGTACAGGAGGCAAGATGGAAACATCGATGATAGGTGTTAGGACCAAGCTCCGCCCATAGGGGGCGAAGCGTGAGCGAGAATATTTAAATCGGCCCAGTTGAACCTTCAGTGGATCATTATTTTCAAGTTGAACGGCAGCACATCGAGTCTTTTAATCGTGGGCATAAGCATCGGCACATACTGAATAACACTTAAATGCCCTGTCAGTCCTCTGTCAAGTTTCATGTCCGCTAAGTATCATTTTCCTAGAGAAGGAGCAGACTAAAACTTCTAACATAAGAAGGAAGGAACTACGGCATTTGTCGGGCGGCCGGGTGTGAATAATCAACACATCAGCAGCACTCTGACGCGCCGAGGCTGTAGAATCCCACCAAATACCCCAAAACACCAAATTCATTGCATCGAAACACTCCAACATACCCCTGGTAAGATGGGGTCCGGTATGTTCTACCCAAACACTGCGTCGCGCTCGCCGCACCTGCCGCGTATCGCAGAAATGCGATGGAAGATTGGAGCGCTCAATTTGTGAGTTAGGAAACGGCTTTAATTATTTGGGTTTGCTGGCTGCTCTCTTCGATTCCAATGCGGACTTGATCGTCGATAATAGAGGAGGAGTCATTCCAAATAATCAAGCCAATAAACATAAAAAACGAAAAAGAAGCGGAAGGAAACAAAACTAAACAAAAAAGAAAGGTAAACGAAAAGTATTGCGTCCTATCGATTGGCGGGGAGGCGGGTTGAGTACAGTAATTGCAGTTCGGAGCCGCGGGATAACTAGAAAAAATTTGCCACAAGCGACAAAGCGAACGTGGGAGATTGGGGAAAGGTTCCGTCACCCGGTAGAATGTTTATAACAAATCACAATTTCCCCTGTACTGTGTCTAATTGGATGGTCACTTACAGGTGTAGTTGGTGCACGACAAGTCAAGTGGCTGAAAACTGTGCGCCTCAGTGATGTGGAAAGTCCGAGCCACTGGCAGCAAAAGGATTACAAGTAAATGTTTTACTACTGGATTACACAACCCACGTGGGATTACTTGAACCATTTTCGGTGCGCTGATTCATCGTGCAGTACAAATTATCTTCTACTTGTGAAGAAGGGCATACCCGACTTAGATTTGACATGTGCGTAGCCCGCCATATGCCGTCGTGTACCCTTGATTTGAAGAAAAATTTCGCGCGTTATCGCCAAGCCTCAGTTTAAATATTGAAGTAAAGTTTCGGCTTGTAGATACACTGCCCGTGCGCTTGCTTTGCTATCATGTTCGACCTAACAGTTCTCAAGACTACCGACAAAGAAACTTTTGCTTAACACTCCAAAGCTTGCTTAAGAACTCTAGGGTCGTTTCCCTAAGACGTTAACTTCTGGCTCTCTTGGCTCTTTCCTTTAATCTTTTAAGCATAGATCTTTTAAAGGCACAGTTTACGATAATTTTGGGTGATCCCGATTATGATGAAAAATGGAAGGCAAGATCGAAACTAGTGCGACTGAGGTGAAGAAACTGCGTGCATCGGTGTTCCCAAAGTGAAAAAGGCTTCGAAAAACCGTTAAGAAGAGGGCTGGACGAGAATGAAACCAGAAAAATGAAGAAGAGTGGGGAATGTCCGGACGAGCTAAAAGTGTGTTTCACTGCGCGCGTGTGGAACCTGGTGCGAATAACAGACAAGGATAAGCAAAAATTCATTCACTTATATAAGCATGAATAAACAAAATACCCTAGTAACAGCAAAAGTAGCTAACCTTTTTCAGCCTCTAGGAGTAGGAAATAAAATAAGGGATCGCGGCAGCAAAAAGAAAAACAGGGGAAAAAAGAATGGGAGAAAAACATCACCTCATGACTCGGCGATTAGCTGATTATGCGTGGGTCCTAGAACGAATATTAGCAATCTGTATTGTCTCGACACTCATCTAACGTGACAGCGATTGAGGGGCGGGAAAGCGAACTACGGCAGCAACGGGGCTTCCCCTATGCCCTAAGCGCCAAGATTGTGGGAGCGAGAGGGTCCCTTCTACCACCCATAGGGGGCGCTGAGTATTCCTAAAGGAAGAACTCAGTAACCTTTTTTATCGTGAACCGTGCCTTTAATACAATGGAAGTTCTGTACAATCCTTGAAAGCTTTCGTTATAGTTGCGTACTGAAGGCCTTTATTATAAGCTCGTCAATTGTGTGAAATCATTCGTTCTATGAGTGTACTGCCCAAAGAAACTGAATCTCATACCTAGTTTTCTCACCCATCGCGCTCTTCCACTTCGACCACCTACAGCGGACACTTTGGCATTTTGAGGAATCGTTTCTTCTAATTCCTACTTTGTCTAGATTTTTTAGTATCGCAGCCGCACTGGAACGGCTGTGATACCAGAAGAAATCTCAGAGCAGGAATCTCTTCAGCCCTTTGTCGGTCAGAAATAAATGAAACAATTGTAAATACAAAAAAAGCAAGAGTAGTCTATTGATGGAAAACTTGTTGAGAAAGGGCTCAGGGCCTTAATACGATCAGCCCTTTATCGTCAAGTTTTCGATCACAATCACTTTCAATCGAGTTTTTGATTAGGATAGCTCTAGCGAGCAGAGGCTAAAAGGGCTCTAATCCCGGCTCGCTAGAGTTATTTGTAACCACAACCATGGAAATTTAGCTGATTATTGTCGGTCGATTTAGCCCTCGGTACTTCTCTTTCTGTTGCATATTCATCACCTGCAGATGATGTTTGAGTAACAAAAGCATCTTTCAAAACACTACCTGACTGAGCTTTATGAGACGAGAACAATCAGAAATGAAAGAGTAAATTATTAGAAGGAAGAAAACATTTGTTCTTTGACGATTACAATTCAAAGGCATTGCACAGAACTATTATCTTCTTTGCCTCGAGTCTAATCAACCAGGTTTTCCGCCGAGAGGCCGACCTAAGGCGATTCAATTGCACTACAAGTTTCTCATACCAAGTGTCTCGAATCTTCACAGTTTTGCCTTAGCAGTTTGTGTCGGAGAAGTGTGACTGACTCTCACGCGCCCAGCAATCTTAGTCATTCTCGGTGCTTTCGCTGCTCTCGATTATCGTGAAACATTAATGAAAATCTTCTCAAGTTTTCAAGTTCAATACATTATTGTAACAGGGCATTCCCTCCCAATGTTGGTCCCGGTGATGAATTGGATTGGAAATCAGTACCAGCTATTCAGGACTACCCGGTTCAGAGTGCTTTCTGCATCCCAGCGCCCAACACCAAAGTCAAAAGAGGTAAGTAGCATGATAATTTTGGTCAGAGTAGATCGCCTGAAACGAGTTATTTCTGTTCAGATGCCGAAACGGTAGACGTTGCTGGATACGCTTGGAGTGGTGGCGGTCGGGGAATAATTCGGGTTGAAGTTAGTGGTGACGGCGGTAAAACGTGGCAAAGTGCAGAACTGGAGCAAGACCCTGAACAAGATCTCGTCAGTTGTGAGGACTCAATTAGGGAATTTCTTTGTTTCCCAGTGACATTAATAGACTTCAGTTCTCATTTTGAAATTCATGTAGGATCATATGTGGGCCTGGACACTGTTCCGCGCAAATATCAAAATTCCAGAAGGAGCTGAGAAAATGGAACTAGTTGTGAAAGCTACAGACCGGTTAGTCTTTTCGAATTGCACGTTTTTCTGTTGCATTCGCTTTGGTTATTGCTACAGGGTGCTCCGGAAATATGGCGCCTATTCACTGCAATGTATTTCAAGCTTTGAATCTGAGGATGATGATGACATTTGTATATGCGTTTGCTTTCATCATGTGCAATCACAAGCCACAATCACCCTTCGAAATATTCCCTGCTAGCACGAATAGAGGCCCAGTAGCCATGTTCGATGAAAGTGTTTAGGAGAGAGCAAATGATTGACTTCAGTTCAAATGATAAGTGTTTACAAATGCCTGCTCATTCGTCCCCTTGACGCTTAAAGGCACCGTTTACTATAAATTTAGGGTACCTTTTTTTTGACGGGAATTGATAGAACTACTCTAGAATAAAGCGATAACAACGAAAAAAGCGCAAAAAACGATGAACAAAAAGAAATAGAAAGGATCAAAAAAGGGTTGGACGACTTTCACATTGGAAAAACGGCGGTTAGTGGACTGTTCGGGCGAGTGTACCAAGGCGACGCAATGTCTGCAGTAGCAGACAACACACCCATTTTGCCTTCCAGTCTGACTGGCAGACCCTGGAAATTTGCCAACCAGCTTATCGATTTTTCACCAACTTCGCTCCAATGCGAAAAAGGTGAACGGCAATTAGGTTTCGTAGTCAGCCTAGCGAGGGGCGGAGGGCGACCGTGGCTCATTCTCCGGCCCCTTATTGTGCCCTATCCAGACCGTTTTCGACCTCACTCCTGCACAAATGGTATCAGAGGGGGCGTCGAATTCGAACCATGTGCAAATCTCCGAAACCATTTTTTCGTGAACAGTGCCTTTTATGACGAGACTACGGTATAGCAGAAGTCGTCGACAACGACACGATCTTAGAACTCGACTTTATTTTCTGCTTGATTCTCCCACTAATCTATATGTCTAAAAATGTTGTTGAAAGAACATCATTCTGAAATTTTTACGTCTAAAATGTGTTTAAGGGCCCACAACACGCAACCAGAAGGAGCATCAGGTATATGGAATGTTAGAGGACTTATCCATAACGCCTGGCATCGAGTCACGGTGCAGATTGTTGATTAGTCACGATTAGTCTTTTTTAGAATTTTTCAGGTAGTTGATAGTAAGTCTGAGCATTACTAAGGTTGTAGTGAAACTAATGGTCGACGTAGTTCACTGTATTCAAAGAAAGTTGTTGGAATTGAATATATTCATATAAAGAGACCATAGTTTTTACGACAGCCCTTTTTGACGTGTCCCATAACTTTTATGCTCTTTACTTTCGTTATTATATATGTTTTCGATATTATATATGTTTAGTACTTAGAAAAAACAACGTAAAAATAGAAGAAACAACTCAAAAAGAGGTCATTCGTTTTTTTACGACGGTTCCTCATCTGCGTCTGCTTTTCACAAATGTGCCGAAGTCGTGTGTGCACCATTAGGGTGATTTGCAACTTATACTTACGCTTATACTCTTTTTCACTCATGTGCGAGCTCCAGCAACAAGCCATTCGCTTTTGTCTTTCGCGATCGCCATCCACGGTAGACTCAGGATTCGACGAAGATGTCGACGTGAGGAGTCATTTAGCTGCTTCCGCAGCTGTTTCACGTGATTGACGAGCACATCACTGCTTCTCGCAGCAGGTCTGTCCTTAGATCGTGAAGATCCTGTGGGAGCCCACTCGATTGTTCTTCTTGTCCATCTGTCATCGTCTCTTCTAATTACTGGCCGGCCCACTGAAATTTTGCGTTCCTCATGTGTTCCACCGGATCGCGGAATCGAGACTCTGCGCATATGGGTGCTGCGGAGTCCGGCTCGATATTGAGCGAGCCGGCTGAACCTCAAAACACATCGCTCGAGCGCTCTATGACCTGTGCTCAAAGCCCTTGACGTGACTGCACTGGTCACCCAGGTCTCCGACCCATAACAGAGCGCAGGAAGATTTGTGGAATCGAGCAGATTAGCGCGAAGTTCCGGGGCAGCCAAATGATTGGTGTCCTTTTACAGAGGCCCAATGGCTGCCCACGCTGCTTTCTGTTCTGTCTGTTCTGTCGTCTCACCAGTTCTTCCCCCATGTCGTTGTCCACATTCATAGAACGCCCGAGGTAGACGTAGGACGAGGTCTACTTAATAGGCGTTCTATCGATCTTAATTTGACCTTCGTCGGCCCAAGCATTCTTCATGAACTGTGACTTTATTCAGTTAATTCGCAGCACTATCTTTTTGCTGCTTAACTAAGCTCAGCAAGCATGGTCTCAGCTTTGCCACTTGGAAAGGGAACGATGTCGTCCGCAAAGCGGAGATTTGAGAGGGACCGTTCATCCACACGAATGCTTTTCGTCCTAGTCTAGCGACTTCATAACCCACTGCAGCGCGGCTGTGAATGGCATTAGTGGGATAGTGTCACCTTATCTCACACCCTTTCCTGTGGGAATGGGAAAAGGTCGCTGGAACAGCTTCACCGTCGCGCTGCAGCGACTACTGCAGTCAGCTAGTGTTCTTATGTAGAGAAGATCCACTCCTTCATCGACCAGTGCTGACAGCTTTGCATTCATTTCGACGCTGTCAGAGGCTTTTTCATAGTCACTAAAGGTAAGGACAAGAAGCGTTCGGAATTCCCGACACACTTCGAACACTATTGCAGCCGGGAAGTAATCTAAGCAGCTGAATCCCTTCCGGAATCTAGCCTACTGAACAGGTTGAGCTTCTTCCCGTTCACGACATTTGGGTCAGAATGATCTTCGCGAGCAGCCTGTAAAGCACACTTAACAACCTTAGTGAGTAGTTGCGAAAATAATCGCGGTCTCCATTCTTGTGATGAATGACCATCCGCGAGTTCCTCCACTGGTTGGGGATCTACTCCTTTTGGATGTGATGTCATGTATCTTGCGAGAAGCGCAGGAAACTCGTAGCCACCTGCACAGAGTAGGTCGGCTGTGATCTTTTTGGTTTTCGCACGTGTGTCGTGGATCGTTACAGGTCGTTGTAAGACCTAACTTCCTCCATCTCATATCTCGATGATGTAAGTGTTCCGTCCTCCTTCAAACATGGAAGTGGAATACCGTGGTCTCAAAGATCCCGATGGCATTTTCTCAGATTTGTTCTGTTCAAGGCCATCTCCAATGGTTTCCTCTCCTTGTATAGCTGAAGGTCTCGCCGCACTGCCTGTCTGCAGCTTATATTCGCTTGCAGTCTTTCAAGATGTGCGGCGTTCTGGTCAAGCCTCAAGTTTCTTCTTGTCCTCAGAAGATCCTTTATCGCAACTGAAATGCGAGCGGAGGTATTTGAATCTCACCGAACTTTTAGGACGTTTCCCTACTTCTTTCACAGTTGTACACATTCTGTGGACAACCGTGTGGGTGACATTCTAATTGAGCATGAGAAAAGGCTCGATGATTCCCATGAAAGAGATATAATCAAAGTTTTCAACGATTTTCTGATCTTTTTTTTTTAAACCCTGTCGTATTACCTAATGACAACGCTAAGATAGTCGATTAGTCGTGGGACCTAACCGATGCAAAATTTTACGAAACTTTCGATTTGCTGTAAATAAATAGTCAGAAATCGAAAAAAAAATTCAGGAACTCATGGGACACCTCGATAATGTAGTCAGTTTTAGTATTATGGTTTTTTAAATTGTTCACAATCTTTTTCCGAACGTTTTTGTTATTATGATGTATTGTGTATGTACAACTATCGCCATATCGCAGTAACGGTCACTTTACTTGTTTGATACATTTTGTGAGTTTTATACTTCTTGTGTGTTTTAGCTTACACATTCTTGACTACGATGCAGCGTAGACAGTTTTTCGGATGAAAAGTTCTTTCTTAATTTATGCATTAATAAATTTGTTTTATTCCGTTTGATTACGTTGAAATGTTCATTTTGTTGACATGGGGAAGTAAAACAATGGTAGGGTCCATATTGAGGGAGAGGGTACGATTTTAGTAAATAGGAATGCCCATCCTGCCTATGTAAGTTCAAGTCTTCGAGGCATATGTTAGAGCATAGGGTAAAAAAGAATCTCAGTGTCGAAGAGAACGGCGCAGGGACGGGTGTTTTTCTGTGGCTATTTTTTATGCTTTCAACTCAACTGTATCACTTACTAATTCTTTTGAATTTTAACTTATTATATATAACCTTATTGTACTCTTTTGTTCTCCTTTACCCTACTGATGAGCCAGAGGGAGATCATGGTCAGGTTTGGCTTCCGTCTGTGGCACGTGCGAAACGGAAGTCGAACTACGTTTTGGTTTATCCCCNGTGCGATTCGGAAACTAAGCATAGGGAATTAAACTTGCGCGTTTCCCTCGCTTCCGCTTGAGAAGATCCGGTACAAAAAAGGTGCTACCCGGTTACTGAAATGAAGTTGCAAAAGTTGTTATTAGTTGCGCTCGTTTTAGAACGAAAAAATCGAGGCTTTCATTGTTCGCGTCCGTGTCCCTGCTACTCATGTTGATTACCCACAGGACCTCGTCGTGTTTGTATTGTTTATACAAAATTTCCAGGGTCCTCTCTTCTCAACTCTTCCTCGAAAAACCTTCACGCGCTGTTGTAGCAATCAGTAATTCCACATAGAAATTAGTACCCAGCGTGTGCTTATAGATGTGTGAACGATTATAAGTCTGGTAATCGAAGGAAAAGCCGCAAGCAAAGTGAAAGATGTAGGGGGGAGGGGCTTGACTTTACCTGTGAGGCAATGGTCGAAGGCACCAGCAGGTTATTAACTCTTAACTCCCCACACCATTCATGCTTCTATCAGAGCAATATTTTATTTTGTCACGTTTCGATCAGCTTGCTGATACGGCTAGGTGATAAATTAAAGTTTTAGTGACTCTCTTCCAAGGCGCTACGATAACGCAGCCCTATCAAGCTCTCGCGTGATGCGTGACGCTTTACAATCGCCACTGTGGAGAATCGAGATAAAAATTATTAGTTGCGCTCGTTTCAAATTTATAGCCACTATTTATGACACAATCACAGCGTGAGCATCAATTCAGGTTTTAAGGACGGTTAAAGGCCAGTTTACAATAAGAATGGCTTATGAGATATTCGCTAGGATAAATTTGTGGCCCCTTCGCATACCATGGCGCTGTCATTTCGGGAGACGGCCTAGTTAGGACATTATAAAGGCTCAAAGATTGTCCCGTGTGTATGCACGGACGAGTTTCAACGGATTGTAGAAGCTCCTACCTTTACAAGAGGACTCATATAGGAAGCTCAAACAACTTGCCATGACCGATAGTGTCAGTGAAAGGTAGCTCTGTACAGTTTTAGCAAGTACCCCTTCCATGATATTTTCGTCATGGTAATCTCGTACAACCTCTACTTACACTACTTTTGAGTAGCCTTATTTTTCGTAGAATCGCCGAATTTTCTCGCTTCCTTCGCCTTTCATGCACTGATCCCAAGTAATACTGCCACTTTTCGACCTAAGAAGTGTACCTTAACTTTGTCGTGGACTGCGTCTCTGAGCTACAATTGCGAGATGGCACATGCCAACTAAGATTCTATCTAACGTTGTGAGAAACATCGAGCAATGGAATTAACAACGGTAACTTATTTGTTCCATCTCTGGTCGGCAAACATCACTGAAGGGTGCAGAACAACTAGATTACTTAGCATAGCGATGTGGTAGTTGTCGAACTCTCGAAGCAGCTGTGCAAGGTTCCAAGACTGATACAGTGTGCTCACATTCTATTTTCCAACAAACGCTTTGTTCTTAAGTGAGAAAACCAAAGTCCGCATCGGAATACTTTCCGTCACAAGGCTGCATTTGGGCTCCCTCAATGCAACAGGTTTGAATATATTCATCGTTTCTTTAACGCGAATAATCTTTCACAGGGTTGAAAGGGTTACTAGCCTTGGCACGAACCTTCCCCCTCTCCCATCCGGGCTTGGGACCGACAACTGCAGTGTTGTAGTGAACAACTAAGGACTTGGAAATTATCGTATTCCAATTACTATGCAATTAAGCATCAATTAAAGTCAAAATATTAGAAACTGATGATCGTAAATGCCCGAGGAAGTAATGACTCAATAAACTATTGATTCCTCTCCTAATCACTTCCCAAAGAC